AGAGGGAAGCGAGGACAGGGAGGAGAGGGGAGAGAGGAGAAAGGAGAAAGGAGAAAGGAGAGAAAGAAAGGAGAAAGGAGGAGAAAGGAGAAAGGAGGAGAAAGGAGAAAGGGGAAAGGGAAAAGGGGAAAGGAAAGAGGCAAGGAAGGGGAAAGGGAAAGGAAAAATTATGAGCCAGGCATCAGTGAACCACACTTGTAATTCTAGTTACTCAGATGGCTGAGGTCTAAGGATGGCATTTTGAAGCCAGCAGGGCAGGAACATCCATGAGACTCTTAGGCTTAATTAACTACCAGAAATAAACCAGAAGTGGCACTGTGGTAGAGCACCAGCCTTGAACAAAAGAGCTGTGTGACAGCACCCAGCCCATGACTTCAAGCCCAAGGAACACGAGAGAGAGACAGACAGACAGAGACAGACAGAGAGACAGAGAAAAGAAAAAAGACAAAAGAAAAAAAGAAAGAAAGAAAGAGGGAGAGAGAAAGGGAGAGAGGAAGAGAGGAAGAGAAGGAAGGAGAGAGAAAGGAAGAGAGGAAGAGAGAGAGGAAGAGAAGGAAAGGAAGGAAGGAAGGAAGGGAGGGAGGGAGGGAGGGAGGGAGGAATATAAATTGTACAGCTCAGCCTCCATGGAAAAATAGTTTGGCAATTCCTCAAGAAGCTAAACATAAAATTACATAACCCAGAAGTTCCTTTCTTGGGTGGAATTAACAAAGATATTCAAATATTTCATAGCAGCACTATTCACAATAGCCAAAAGGGTGGAAACAACCTAAAAATCTAGCACCTGATAAATGGTCAAAGTGTTACAGTCACGTAATAGAATAATAAAAATAGTGTAGTAATAAGATATTACAATATAAAAGAACCTTGAAAACATTCTTCTAAGTGAAACACAACAAATGCAAAAGGCACTATTATTGTAAAATTACATTTATATGAAATTATTTTTTAAAAAATAAGTAAATCCACAGAGACAAAAAGCAGATCAGCAGTTGTCCAGGGCTGGTGGAAAGAGATGTGTAGATTGACAGTTACCATAAGTATAGGCTTTTCCTTTGGGACAACTAAAATGTTTTGGACATATAAAACTGCACCCAATATTATAAATATATTAAATACTGCTGAGTTGTATAATTTCCCTGAGCTACTTTGCTAGCACTCTACCACTTGAGCCATAGCTTCACTTCCAGCTTTTTGGTGGCTAATTGGAGATAAGGGTCCTGCCCAGGCTGGCTCAGAATCTCCATCCTCAGATCTCAGCTTCCTGAGTAGCTAGGATTACAAGTGTGAAGCACTGGTGCCCAGCTAAATTGTATGTTAAGCAGTTAATTTAATATACGAATTTTGCTCTAATTAGAAATGAGGGCCAGGCACCAATAGCTCATGCCTATAATCCTAGCTACTCAGGAGGCTGAGATCTGAGGATCTCCAAGCCAGCCCTAGCAGGAAAATCCATGAGGGTCTTTATCTCCAATAAACTCTATCAAAAAGCTGGAAGTGGAGCTGTGGATCAAGCGTTGTTGCACTAGTCTTGAGCAAAAGAAGCTCAAAGACAGTGCCTAGGTCCTGAATTCAAGCAGTAGGACTGGCACACACATTTACCAAAAAGCAAAAACAACAACAACAAAAAAAACACTGAGAAGCAGCAGCCTATCTTTAATTCTCATATAGAATTAAATCACGCATCTTTAAATTTTCTAAAACTGCTTTTATGAACTACATATATATATGCTACATATCTTTTGAATTCATAAAATACTGCTTTGTAAACATTTTATACTTTAGCAGTAGCTTATTACTTTATGGAACATACATAGATTTAATTTGTATGTCATTCGTTAATATATAGAAAATGTATCTTACACTTCATTTTAAAAGCAGATGCCAAGTTTCCAACAAATGAGCTTATTCAGATAAAATATTTCATATCATATTTAATGAAGACTTTTGACACTGATAGAGAAAATATATTTCAATATTTTAATGCCTAATCTCATTTTAACTTCAAAAATAAAGAAACTAAATGCAAATAATTTTAAATGCACAAAAAAGCAAAATACAAAGAAAGGTTAAATCACAAAGAACTAAAGTGGATAGGAATGAAATATAGAGGAAAAAGAAACTCAGAGGTATAGTAACTCTAGCTTCTTAATAATTTAGAATTGATCTGGTTCAAATTCCCCAAACAACTTGCCCTCCCCCAGTATATTCTCTTCCTATGTCCTAATAATTTTTTTTAAAAAGGCTACTTGACTAGGACAAAAAATATGTGCGAAGTTTCTAAAGAGTTGTCTTTTTTAATATCGTTTTATTGTTACTGTTGTTTTATACAGAGGGGTTACAATTCTGTAAGTCAGGTAATAGGTATAATTCTTCTTGTTTTTCCAAAAAGAGTCAATTTTTCTTTAAAGAAAAGATAGACTGTTTGTGCTCATAATTTACCTTTTTGCCACCGGAGGATAGTTTATCCATCTTCTCAGATTTAAATGAGTCACCACTTTTTTCTTTGCCTGAAGATTTTGACTTATTTTTTTCCTTGTCTTTCTCATTTGGATAAGGAGACTCACATGGACTTTCACTTTTGTGTTTTGAAACCCCCACTAAAATTACAAAAGAGGATCATGAAAGCCTTTTCAAATTCTCTTTGACGATTGCTTCCAAGGTATCAGTAAGTCCACCTACTTGTTCCATTTTCCTCTTTCCGCCTCTTGGTTAAGTCCGGTGGTACTTCACGGTCATTGTTTGAGTGATCCTAGAACCAAGAATTGTGAACTACATTGATCACAAGTTTACGTTTTTTCTTATAAAGAATTATTCTTACACAAGAAAGGCACAGCTAACTAGAATTGGAGAATATTTGCAGTAGTTTCACATACTTGGTAAAATGGCATGACAGATAAGCAGAGCTGGTAGAGATTACTAAGCTGAAGATCCTTATTACTGTAGAAGATGCAAACACACTTCAGTGTGAAAATACCAGTTAAAACAATACAGAATGCTACAGAATAAAGTAGTAATTTTTAAAAAGCAATAAGCACACTACTATACATGATAATGAGCTTTCCAAACTAATTTAAGAAAATTACAAACCCTTTTCCGCTCTTTCCTGTCCTTTTCATCTTTTTTCTCTCTTTCTCTGGATCTTTCCCTTGACTTGTCCAACTCTTTCTTGTCCATTTCTCTCTCCTTACTCTTGGACATTGGTGGAGGAGTATGATTAATGTAGAGCTGTTAAATTAAGGCAATATTACTAAAGATTATTAGTTTTCCAGTATTGGCATCTTGTGGTTTTGTTTATTAATTGAAAGACAAATATGAAGTCAGAACTGGTCAGCTCTCTGTATGAGAGGCAAAACAAAAGAGCATGATACCAATTACATAAATATTCATGGCCTCATTTAATACCTATTCAAACTCAATCAGTTCATTACTGCCTCAACTGAAACTCCTCAGTAAATTCACAAGCTAGAGTTCATCTTATCACTCCATTACAAAGACATATGACCACCGTTACAAAAACATAAGTAAAAATTTATGACTGGACTTTCTCCAAAGTAAAAAACAAAACACAAACCTGAATTCAATCATAAAATTTTACTATCCATTCCTAGGTAGTCAATAACAGTGGTAAAAGGTATACAAACAAAATCTAGCTCTGATTTTACTAATATGTCCTTTCTGTCTCAGTAAAAACCCCAAGCAATGATCATTCCAAATTATTTTTTCCAAATATAAACACTGATACATATCTTCTTCCAAAAATTTTTCTTTGCCAGTCCTGGTGCTTGAACTCAGGCCTCTGGACACTGTCCATGAGCTTCTTTTGCTCAAGGATAGCACTCTACCACTTGAGCCACAGTGTCATTTCCAGCTTTTTCTGTTTATGTGGTGCTAAGGAATCGAACTCGGGGCTTTATGCATTCTAGGAACTCTACCACTAAGCCACATTCCTAGCCCTCAAAAATACTCCAATTCTATCAAATAGAATTGATTGTGAATTCTCTTACTGGCCTTTCACCTGTCAAAAGGTCCACAGGCAGTAAAAATTTTTTAAGCCAATTATCGAGGACATCCTAAGGCTAAATAACTGAGAGATAATATGGAAATCAACCATAAAAAGTTATTTAGGAAGTGGTCAAGGGGCTGGGAAGATGGCTCAGTGGTAGAGTGCGTGTCTTGCATGCATGAGGCCCTGGGTTTGATTCCTCAGCACCACATAAACAAAAAAAGCCGGAAGTGGCGCTATGGCTCCAGTGGTAGAGCACTAGCCTTCAGCTGATGAGCTGAAGGACAGCTCCCAGCCCCAGAGTTCAGGCTCCATGACCAACAAAAAAAAAAAAAAAAAAAGGAAGTGGTCAATAAATAATCCAATACTTGATTTTATGGCATTTATAAGTATACTATAAGTTTATACTTAATTTGATAACAAAGTTTTAGGCAACAGAATATGGAGTTTATATTACTTTATAATTCTAGATATACATTAAAAATGAATAGAATCAAATGAATAAAAAATGTTTTGACATGAAATAATCCTGATATTAAAAGGAATAAAAAGAGCCATCAGTTTGAGAATTATCAGTAGACATTTTCTATTCTATTGTCTCAGAAATGTCATAGCAATGTGTTTAAAAAATGATCAACTGAAATAGACAAAATGTTTACTACTATCAAAGAGCAAGAGAATAAATATCAAAGTATTTCTCTAAAATATACTCTTGCTTGGTATGACACTTTTAATGACACTTAAAAGATTTTTAGACTCTATCATCTCTTAAGGTAGTATTATTCAGGATACTAAAAACATAAAATCAATAAAATATTATTGCAATTCTCAAAAGAATTCTTTAGGGGCTGGGAAAGTGGCTCAGTGGTAGAGCGCTTGCCTTGCATGCATGAGGCCCTGGGTTCGATTCCTCAGCACCACATTAGCAAAAAGAAAAAAAGCCAGAAGTGGTGCTGTGGCTCAAGTGGTAGAGCGCTAGCCTTGAGCTGAAGAGCTGAGAGACAGCGCCCAGGCCCAGAGTTCAGGCCCACAACCGGAGGCCCCCCTCAAAAAAAAAGAATTCTTTAAAGAAAGTACTGTTTCTTTTTTCCCCACTAAAAGCAAAAACATACAAAAGTTGGGGTGTTTTGTGCATACAAACATCCACACACATGCTGATGACATTTTCTTGTGTGCCTATTTGAATTAAGAATTTTTCAAGGACTTGATTATGACACAAATATTGACGTATTCCATGCTTGACACAAGAAGTCCAATGGCTCAACTGATACACAATCTTCTTTTGTTTGTTTGTTTGTTTAGAAATATACCCAATTCAACCAGGCCCTAGTGGGTCACACCAGTAATCTTAGCTACTCAGGAGGCTGAGATCTGCAGATTGTGGCTTAAAGCCAGCCTAGGCAGGAAAGTCTGTGAGATTCTTATCTCCAATTAATCACAGAAAATGCTAGAATGGGTGCTGTGGCTCCGGAGTGCTAGCCTTGAATTAAAGGAGCTCAGGGAGAGTGCCCAGGCTCAGTGTTTAAGCCCCATGATCAACAACAACAACAACAACAACAAAATTTCTTCTTTCTACCCTTCCAATACTTTTGTCCATAAAAGTTTCTCTCCATCTGTTGAATGAATTGCTTATTCCTACTTTAGGCATCCCAAATTCTCCAAAATCATTTCAGAATTCTACGCTACCATTCAACAACCAAATTAAATGACTTGCATTTTCTTCCTGTCACTGTTCTCTAACTCCAATCCTTTCCAGCAGTCTATTTATTAGAATGGTACATACTTTTAATCTCTTAAAAACCTACGTAACTCTTCAAAGACAGGTCAATAGCCATCAATTCTTAAACCATCCCTCACTCTGCAATTCACATTCCAATGAACTCTTGTACTATGTATTTATCTTTTTGTGATAAGTATTCCCTATTAACTTCATGTCATCAACTTTTGTCCAAAATAGGTTACAGTATATTAAGCCAGAATACCTTTCTGCTTTTATATACTTCCCCTATCCTCTCATTTGCCAAATAAAGTTAGTGAGTTGTCCAATGTAGCATTGTTGGATTTTGTATATACTACAAAATTAAGAAATTTGAGGTATGGGGGAGGTTGGGAGTGATGGAAGAGAATGATGGAAGGGGTGACATTGATCAAGATGGATTGTAGGCTAGGTGCCCTTGGCTCATGCCTGTAATCCTAACTACTCAGGAGGCTGGGATCTGAGATCTGAGGATCGCAGATGGAAGCCAGTCTGGGGAAGAAAAGTCCCCCAAAGTTCCTGTGTGCCTTTCATCTCTAATTAACCACTCAAAAACTGGAAGTGAAGCTGTGACTCAAAATGGTAGAGCACTAGTCTTGAACAAAAGAGCTCAGGGACAGCGCCCAGGTCCCAAGTTCAAGCCCCACAACCAACCAACCTCCTCCCAAAAAAAAGAAAGAAAAAAGATGCATTGTATTTATAAACTGCTTTATTGAAAGCAACTCCTTTGGACAACTACTTAAAGATAATAAAATTTTAGGCTCACATAACAGAGCATATTTTAAACACACTTTTCATCACATGTAAGTACTAGGATTGCTGTATCTCGTAACACAACTAACCAAAAGTGGAAATACAACAGTTGAAAGTTGAGATGGAAAGTGGGCTAATTTTTTTTAATATTAACTTAAGATTTTTCTCCCTTTAATCTCACCTACAAGCTCAAATCCTTGTATATAGAATGAGATACATAAACTTGCAGCTGAGTTAGTATCACTCAGCATCTTTCCTAAAACATTATTAAACAACTAGTTATTCTTACACCAACACTGCAGTACTGTAGGGGACATCAGAGCTGCCAGTACAACAGATGTGAAGATGACAAAGATCTATGGACTGGCAACAACATCCCTGTGGTAGTAACTGATTGAACTACATTAACCACATTGTAGAAACTCTCATAAAACAAAAGATAGATACATAAGGTCCAGCATAGCCCTGATACTAAGCACAACTCAATCTCCAAAGTAACAGTACAGACCTAAGTATAATAAACATGGACAGAACCAGCAAACCACAGCACACACAAGAAAAGTCTGTGATCTGGGAACCATGGCACCAGAACAAGAATGCATTTTAGGAAATGGAAGACACCACACATTAAGTAGGGAGTGTTTGAGAAGCAGGTGAGAAGGGGGAGGGGAGTGGTTGTTAAAAGCCTAGACCCCAGACACCTCTGAATAGAGGATTGTGGTTCAAAGACAGTCAGAGAGATTACATACCCAAAGAAAAAGGCCAGGCTGGAGAGGTAGCCTAAGTGGTACAGTGATAGCCAGTCAAGACAGAGCCTCTAAACATGTTTTCTCTCAGATGCAGAAGCAAGACTGGGGCACGATAATTATACAGGACTCTAGGCATTCAGTGAGATACCCTTCGAGGAAGAACCCAAAGATATAAAGCCTCTAAACATTTAAAATACTATTTATCAAAACAAATTCCAGGAAATGTAAACAGGGGTTTTTGTTGGTGGTAATGGTGATGTTTTTGCTTTTTGTTTTGTTTGTTCTTTTTTCTGTTGGGGGGGGGCAAAAGGGGAAACAAAATAGTGGAAAAGTGAACAAACATAGTCATGGTATTCAGCAGAAACTGTGGAAAATTACCTATGCAACTTGTGGGGCAGGGATTGGAGAGGAATGGGGGGAAGTGACAGAAGGGGTGACACTGTCCAGAAAGAAATGCATTCATTACCTGATGTATAAAACAGTAATCCTGAGAATGTGGCTTAGTGGTAGTGTGCTTGTCTAGCATGCATGAGGCCTTAGGTTCAATCCCTTGCTACCATATAAACAAAAAATAAATAAAATAAAATGGTAACCCCTCTGTACGACACCTTCATAATAACAATAAGATTGCACTTTTAAAAGCCTGTCAGAAACTGGTGGCTCAAACCTATAAACCTAGCTACTCAGGAGGCTGAGATCTGAGGATCGTGGTTCAAAGCCAACCTGGGCTTCTGCCCAGGAGACTATCACCAAAAAGCTAGAAGTGGAGCTGTGGCTCAAGTGGTACAGTGCTAGCCTTGAGCAAAGAACCTCAGGGACAGCGCTCAGGTCCTGACCTGAGTAAACAAGCTCTAGGACTGGTACCAAAAAAAAAAAAAGATTCTGAAAAGAACTGTGATACAGATTAAAATCTTTCACCTTAATAACAAAAGGAGGGAAGGGTGAAGAGGGGGAGCACTAAATTCAAATCCCAGTACCTGCAAAATGCAAAGTCCAGAAAATGACGCTGTGGCTCAAGTGGTAGAGCACTTGCCTTGAGCTGAAGAGCTCAGGGACAGTGTCCAGGCCCAGACTTCAAGCCCCACGAATGACCGGGGAAAAAAACAAAAAGAAAAAAAAAAGGAAAAAATAAAGCAAAGTCCAGGCTGGTTCCTCCATATTTTTTACTATGGCAAATAGTGCTGCAAGGAACATGTTTTTGCTAGTGGCTTTACTGTAGCCCTGTTTGTGTTCTATTGGATAAATGCCCAGGAGTAGAATTACTGGGACATGGGGTTGTTCTATGTTTATTTTTTTGAAGACTCTCCAATATTGCTTCCCAGAGTGGTTGAACAAGCTTACATTGCCACCAACAGTGTAATAGAGTTCCCTTTTGGCCACATCCCCACCAGCATGTGTTATTGTTAGTTTTTTGATAATGGCCATTCTAACAGGGGTGAGACGGAATCTCAGTGTTGTTTTGATTTGCATTTCCTTTAAGGCTATGGATGCTGAATATTTCTTCTTGTGTCTATTGGCCATTTTTACTTCTTCTTCTGGGAAGTCTCTCTGTAATTCATTAGTCCATTTATTAATTGGATTGTTGTTTCTTTGAGGGTTTACAAATAGATTAAGAAAATGTGGTATGTATGTGTGTGTGTGTGTGTGTGTATACCTGAATTTTACTTATCCATTAGAAAGAATAACATTATGCCATTCATAAGGAAATGGAAAGACTTGGAAAAAATTACATTAAGTGAAGTAAGCCAGATTTGGGGAAAAAAAAAAAAAGGTTGCATGGTTTCCCTCATTTTTGGTAGCTAGAATGTGCCTATAAAAATTCTATAAGTAAAAACACTAGGTGGTATGCAAGTGGTTACAAATGAATTAATTTGAAGTATAATAGACTCTATGGAGAGCTCAAATAGTATAACTCTTTACAAAGACTAAATCAAAGCCCAAGGGAAAAAAAACACCAGGAAATGAGTAATTGCAAAAGGGACAGAGCAAGGGGAGAGGGGTAGATGAAGGAAAGGAGGAAGGAAAAATATACAGTCAGAAATTCATTGTATACACTACAAATTAAGAAAAATAAGGGAGGGGGATTGAGGGGGGGAGTGTTGAAGAAGATGACACAGATCAAGATACATTGTATACATAAACTGCTTTGTAGACTAGCAACTCCTTCATACAATTACTTAAAGGTACTAAAAATATTTTCAAAAAGAAAAATCTATATAATTTTTCCTATGGATTAAAACTGAAACTAGCAAGTAATAAAAAGTATAGTAATATAAAGCGTAACTAAAAGGTCACACTAAAGCAAGAAAACAATATTATATGCATAATTAACAAGATAGCATGAAAAACAGACAGCGGTGGGGAACTATCTGGCTCAGAGGCTGTATAAGGCCTGAAAAATTATTCAGTAGATGATGAGATAGACAAATATGCTTCTCATATGCTTCTACTCAGCTGCCCATGCAATGTACCTGTACTGATAATTTTGTATGGCCTGTACATAAATATCCAAATGGCCCTTGGCAGGTAAAATGTTCTGCTGTGAGTCTAGAAGATAAAAGCTAACTCTGAAACATTGAGATTATAGGTAATCAATTTTAGAGACTAAATTCTGATAAAAAATTTTATTTCAATGTATTCAACTCTAGTAAATTTCCTAGAAATGTAAAAATGCAACATCAGGTACTATACAAATCAGTACTCTGGATGGTTTACCAGAGTGCAAAAACTTAAGGATTCATTTCAAATGGTTACTGAATATCTAATCTTATTGCCAAGCACTACAATAAATGTAGTTCACTAATATGAAAAGTGGTATGAGGAGCTGGGAAGGTGACTCAGTGGTAGAGCGCTTGCCTTGCATGCCTGAGGCCTTGGGTTCGATTCCTCAGCACCACATAAGCAAAAAGAAAAAAGCCAGAAGTGGCACTCTGGCTCAAGTGGTAGAGCACTAGCCTTCAGCTGAAGATCTGAGGGACAGCGCGCAGGTCCAGAGTTCAGGCCCCACGACTGGACCCCCCCCTAAAAAAAAGTGGTATGAGTCACATAATTTTAGTAGCATATTTATATGCCTTTTTCAAAATTTTCTGGTTACATGTGAAGTAATTGTATTGAATTTTAAATGAACAGAAATAATTTTTAGGTGGAGAAATTGACATGAACTACTATTTAAAAAAAAGTTGGAGCTGGGTGCTGGTGGCTCACGCCTATAATCCTAGCTACTCAGAAGGCTGAGATCTGAGGATCTCAGTTCAAAGCCAGCCGGGGCAGAAAAGACTGTGAGACTCCTGTATCTAATAAACCATCAGAAAACCGGAAGTGGCACTGTAGCTCAAGTGGTAGAGCGCTCACCTTGAGCTTAAGAGCTGAGGGACAGTGCTCAGGCCCAGAGTTCAAGCCCCATGACCAACAACAACAACAAAAAAAAGTTGGGTGCTGGTGGCTCACAGGTTTTATCCTAGCTATTATGGAACCTAATATCTGAGAATTTGCAGTTAAAAGCCAGCCTGGACCAAAAAGTCTATGAGACTTTTACCTTCAATTAACCACCTGAAAACCAGAAGTGGCGCTGTGGCTCAAAGTGGTAAAACACTAGCCATGAGCAAACGAGTTCAGGGACAGGTCTCAGGGCCTGAGTTCAAGCTCAGTACCAATAAATAAATAAAAAAGATAAGCCAGGCACTGGGCTCACAGCATAATCCTAGCTACTCAAGAAGGCTGAGATCTGAGGATTAGGATACTCTCATTTCCAATTAACCACAAAAAGCCAGAAGTGGACCGGTGGCTTAAGTGTTGGAGTGCTAGCCTTGAGCACAGAAGCTCAAGAACAGCTGGGAATGGCTCAACCTATAATTCTAGCTACTCAGGAGGCTAAGAGCTGAGGATCATAGTCCAAATCCAGCTGGGACAGAAAAGTCCCCACAGCATTTTTATCTCAAATTAACCACTCAAAAACCAGAAGTGGAGCTGTGGCTCAGTGGTAGAGCACTAGCCTTGAGCACAAAGAGGTTCAGGGACAGTACCCACGTCCAGAGAAGAAAGAAGAGGGGAGAGAGGAGAAGAGAGGAGAGGAGGGAAGGAAGGAGATAAACCCATCATCAGAGCTAGGAACCCTTTCTTCTACTGTTGCTAATACCTGATGAACCTAAACTTTACATTTGGTATTAACAAGTTATATGCCATCAGGAAAGGCTGAAGAACTTTTTATCTTTCATTTATCAAAAAGACACTACCATCTGCCCTATTTAACTTTACATCTGTTATGAACATGACATAAGATGAATATACATTATCTCACACAATGTTCCTATTCAGAAGACTTTCAAAAAGTGAAGAAATGTAATCATCATCAAATTTAAGAAAATACAGTTAATTTTAGTAGCCTGTTCTAAGCTACTTAAAGTGTGTTTCAGAAATACTCACAAATTAAGACTTTTAGTCCATGAATAAAATAGCCCATATACGCCATTAACAGTTATGACTAACAAATACAATTCCAAATGGTTATGAAGACCAACTACACTACAATATTTCATGTAGCCAATAAAATATTTTACTCTAAAACAAAGCACACATAATATGGCTGACACTCTTTAATTAATACATACTCAAAAAACAGTGCTATAGTTTTAGGGCACAGGCACATTGGCTAATCTAAACTGTTAAAAATCAGTGCTTACTCCATCCACTGAGCTATATCACTCACCCCCACTTTAATCATGTTCCCAATAAAACTTGCATTATATCTAAAAAAATATCAGTGCTGATTTGCCCAAAATCACAGACACTTCCCTAGAAAGTTATAGATCTAAAAGCAGTAACACTGAGTGGCTGTTTCAAAATTCCATTTGGTCCATCAATAAAGAATCATACTTAGAAAAAAATAGGAGACAATGTATGAAGTCAAAGGAGAGCACAAATTTTATAATAAAAACAAAATGAAACTAACAACAGCATTTTAACTATAATACTGAAATGAACTTTGTAATTAGATACATAAACTGCATACTATTTTTAGTTGAATAACCAGTAAAGGAAAATAGGTAAAAATTAATATTAACCTATAAACACAACTACCAATTTGATTGCTCCCTTCAAGAGGCATAATTACTTTACATTTACTATACTTGCTGAAATTATGCTACAACTACCAAAAAGAAAACTCAGCAGAAGGAGATATAAAGAATTTTGTAGACTACAATAGGACTTCATTTCTAAAAGTTATGTGAATGCAGCAAATAGCTTTCTTGGTCCTTTGGGATGTCTAAGAACAGCCAGAAAATAGTCCTTCCTTAATTTCACAAAGCAAATTTGCCAGGTTTGTTTGTAAAATTAAAGCAGATTATTCCACCTAAACAAACCAGTAACTTCTTCTGCCCCAAATCTTAAGCTTAATACCAGATTCTGAAGCACAAAGGAGAATGCGTTATACACCCAACAAATATAGATTATTGAAATGTTGCCACATCACATGTATTTTATAACAATCTCTCTAAAAGAGATCACTGCCATCTGTTCTTTTAGTTTGCAATAGGAACTTATGAAGGTTATTCTAATCACAATACTTCTTTCCAAGTAATCCTAGGTTACTGAATTTACTAGGGAAGGGTCATCTACAAAACAAAAGGAGGGGTTGTTTGTTTACTTAGGCATTTTTAAAAGACTCAAACCTTTGATGAAGACTCCTTGAGTTCGATGAGACTGTCCTGTAGAAAATGAATGGAGATGACAGGTGAGCTGGCATAGTTCTCAGAACCCAGAGGAACTTTGGGAAGTACAGTTGTGACCTGGAAATAAACCGGCTATTCCTTGTGAAGATAAATTCCATAATATCATTAGTAATATGGACACCAACAATAAAACAAAAACAAAATTATGTAATGGAATAGTAATGGTTTAAAAAAAAGTAAATTAGATGTACTCTATGTATGAAAGAAAAATTTTACACTTTCTGACCGAAAGTTAAAAATAAAGGTCAATGCCACATTTTTCATATTTCATGCTTAATGTAATTTTAAAAGCTTAAGAAAGCAAAATATTTTTCTCCACAAAAAGATTTAAATAGTGGAGGTCAGAGCTGAAGAACAATACTGTTATGTTATAGTTATCGTTTAATTGGAAGGTTTTAAATTTTACTTTACGTTTAACTCTAAAATAAACATGTATTTTCATTCTAAATATAACTCAGTGGCATTGTATTATAAGAAAACAAAACATATACTGTATAAAAGAGAAATCACTTTTTTGTAAAGTTCCTATGATTGGTGAATTTCATACCTCCAACAAGAAAAAAAACATCAAAATGGAAAGAGAAAAGAAGAAAAACAAATCAACTATGGTATTCCACCACAGTGTTCTTGATGAAGAATTAGTAACTTACAGTTTCAAAAGTTCAACGTACTGCAAATTCAAAGATTCCATGAAATTAGATGACTTTAGAATTAAAATTAAATATGGAGCAAGGAATGGCTACCCTGAGTCTTCAAGAAGGCTACACCCACGATTTTGTGCTGCAGTTGAATGCCTGCGGTTTCTCTTTGCTGGGTGGTAGGATTGGATGCCACATCTGCTTTTATCGTAACGCAAGGTTCAACTTGGTGGGAACCCAATGGGTATAAACAAACCTCCAAGGGAAGAAACAACTGAAGCTGCATGCTCACTGAATATACACAACTACAGGAGAACTGATCACCAAGGAGACTTTAAAATGGAACTCCTTTCAAGACTCCTTCTTAGAAGGCACATCGGTATGATGCTCATCAAGAAGCTTGATGAATTCAGAGGTATCTTGTGTAATCCTGTAATCATCCAGGAAGTCTTCAGTAATACACATTCTTCGATATTTATGCCGAAAAATAGCTTCGTTCTGCTGAAAATATTCTTTTGCTGTTGCTACCATTGCACTCCAAAAAAACTGCGTAAAGCAGTGAGGCACTTCTGGGTAAAATTTCTCTTGCACTTTGATACATTAGAAAATTAGTGCTAGGTCCTTGAAGTTTTAACATTTTTATAATAAAAATACTCAATGGGAAAAATATCAGTCCACCAATACAGAAAAACATTCATTTCTAATGATATATAAAATTTTCAGTGGCTTCAGTGAATACTTGGCACAAGACTTGAAGGAAGTCAGGACACTGGTATTCCAAACACGAGAGCCTAATAAAGATGCTGCCTTCTTCAGGCTATACTAACCTTTACTGTGGAGGAATGTGATGGAGAAGGATGGGTATCAATTTTGCGGCGTTTCTGTTCTGTTCAGACAAAAAGAAACAATAATATATATTTCTAGTCTTTCTGAACACTTTCAAAATGTACAACTTCTTTTTCTTTTTTTTTATTGTGAAAATACTGTACAGTGGAGGGGTTACAATTACATAGGCAAGATAATGAGTACATTTCTTATCAAGCATTGTAGCCTTCTCCTTTGTTTCCCCTTCCCACCCCTTCCCATCCTCCCCCCGCCCCTGTACAACTTTTTTTTCAATTTTTTGGTGTTGGTCCTTGGGCTTGAACTCAGGGCCTAGGCTCTGTCCCTTAGTTTTTTTTTTCCTCAAGGCTGGCACTCTTACCACTCGAATAACAACACCTCCACTTGTGGCTTTTTGGTAGTTAGCTGGAAATAAGAGTCTCATGAACTTTCCTCCCCTGGCTGACTTTGAAATAAGGTCTTCAGATCTCAGCCTCCTGAGTAGCTAGGATTATAAGTGTCAGCCACTGGCACCCAGCTTAAAATGAGCAATTTTTTAAGATAAAGTATTCATTTTCCTAGCAAAATCTCTAGAAAACTTCTCAAAGTGAGGAAAAAAGACTACACATGAATATAACAGAGGGTAAATGAACAAGAAAAAATACACTTACCCCTTTCAGGCTCTGCATTATCAGATCGGGGAACAGGCGACTTCAAGGACCCAGAAACTGGTGTTTTTTCTCCTCCTTTAACATTTTCCTTTGATTTCATTTCCTTTGTTACATCTCTTTCTCTGGATGGCTCCTTCTCTCGTTCCCTTTCTTGAGTAGATTTTGATTCTGTGCTGGGGATAGTTGTCTTGAATTTTTCTTCTTTAGATTTTTCTTCCTTCTTGAATTTTTCTTTGTCTTTGTCAGACTTAGGTGTTCTTTCCTTGGTCTCTCTTGCTTTTTCATCTTTATTGGGCCGCTCTTCTTTTGGTTTTTCTTTACCATCTTTACCAAGTACCCTGGCCTCTGGAGTAGTAGCTGGAGTCTTTTCTTTTTTTTCTTTTTCTTTCTCTTTCCCTTTTTCTTTGTCATTTTCTTTAACAGCTTTGCTGCTTAAGAATATAAACATTAGATTTTTATCATTTATTCAAATAACCATAAAATATATTCCGTGACAAAAATTTTAAAGTTTCTTAATGATAAAAAAGCAAATGATAGTATCAAAAGTAAGTAAAACAGAATTATTTCCTTATCAATAAATAAGAACTCATGAGTAGCAGATTAAGAAAATGATTAATATTAAAATAACTGTTAAGGGGCTAGGAAGGTGGCTCAGTGGTAGAGCGCTTGCCTTGCATGCATGAGGCCCTGGGTTTGATTCCCCAGCACCACATAAGCAAAAAGAAAAAACGCTGGAAGTGGCGCTGTGGCTCAAGTGGTAGAGCGCTAGCCTTGAGCTGAAGAGCTGAGAGACAGTGCCCAGGCCCAGAGTTCAGGCCCCACGACCGGACCCCAAAAACAACAACAACAACAACAAAAAAACTGTTAGGTTCTTCTTACATACCATCATATCCTTTGTGGATAACAAATTAACAATCAAAAATCTATCCCAGGGCTGGGAAGGTGGCTCAGTGGTACAGCGCATGCCTTGCATTCCAGAGGCCCTGGGTTCGATTCCTCAGCACCACATAAGCAAAAAAAAGAAAAAAGCTGGAAGTGGCGCTGTGGCTCAAGTGGTAGAGCACTAGCCTTGAGCTGAAGAGCTGAGGGACAGCGCCCAGGCCCAGAGTTCACGCCCCATGACCGGACCCAAAAAAAAAAAATCTATCCCGCAAACCAACTAAGGATGCTACTATCAGGGAATAGGTTCCTCAGCTTGAGAGAACTAATTAATAAAAATAATTTCTGCTCTCTACCCTAGTTTAAATTGCCTACAGCATTCATTCACTGTAAAAAAAATTTTTTTTTACCTTAACCACCTACATACCCTTGAACATCCAGCAAAGGAAAACAAGACTATTAAACAGAACATAATTATATGAAATGAAATTAGGATGCTAACAAGTACATTATCCACAAAGGGATACACACAAAATTTTAAAGCCTAAGAAACATGATTTTAATACTGATTAACTACCACCTCCCTTCTATTTATGGTTAGTGATGCCCATCAGATAAGAATTTAGGACACATATAGCACAGTATTCTCTTACCTGTTAGAGCCACTATTTCCATTGCTTGAATTCCCTTTTGGTGTGGCACTAGAAGCTTTATTAATAGCTTTCACACCACACTGAGATCTCTCCCTTGATTTATCTGAAATAAAAGTAAGGCTTTCTTTAATAAGACCCCAAATATAAATAAACTACAATTTCACAGCAAAATGATTAAAGGATAATTAGAAAGAATCATCAATTTAATTACTGAACAGTTACATGTTCCTACCTAGGGAGTAAAAAAATTAATAGAGGCCAGCATTGCATTCATTATGTGATACAAAATATTCCAATGTATTATTTAAAAGTATCTACAAATAAGCATACCAGTTTCCTCAGTACTGCTTTCATCCGATTTAGATGCACTTCCTAGGGATGATGAAGAAGGCCCACCACTAGGGCCATTTTGTACACTGGCAACCGCATTCCTCGGAGGAGGGTCTTTGTGATGAAACTCATTTTCAGGTATCATGTATGACTTTTTACTTTTCAACTGCCCAGAGTAGCTGAAAGTCGCACAAAGTGTTTAAATATACAAAACACAAATCAAACAGTACAAACATGGGATTCAAAAGAATAAAATTAGCAAGTTACTCATTCTATTAATTACTTCAGAAATAAAAAATATTAATGTTCAGTAACTTCTTGAGGATCTTTATAAAGAATACTAATTTCTTACATAAAATTTTCAAACTAATTTTTAAACTAAGATGACTTTCAACTTTTTGCTCTTGAAGATCTCAAAATCCAAGTATAATGCTAAAAATTACATTTCCTCCCATTTGAGACATATTACATGTGTCTTTTGACACTGTCATCTAGTATAGACCGGAAGTTGATCATCAGAAGTGACAACTCTCACCAGCCTGTGGGAAAATAATCTCTCATAATCTCCTGAAGTACAAGGAAGAAAATAAACTTCAACACTGTGAAACATTTTAAGGTCCTCAGAATCCTTTGTAATCTAATCTCACAAATCACATTTAAAGTATAATTTTGTTACCCCATCGCCAATGCATATAGATCTGGCCTCTTCTCTTTTTCTTCTTGGCAGATTTTATGTACTCTTCTTTCCAAAGCCTGACCCAGATTCAAAACTTTTGGGTACCAAGGAAGTATTTTTGTTAGCACAATCAAGATATTCCTGATATGAGTATATTCGCCTGTTTCAAGGCAATGCACCGATGCCTACAACAAACATTGTATCAGGCATTATTATAAAAATACAAGGAGGATAAGAAAATTATTACTCACAAAAAATGTATTTTTTACCTTGGTTAGCTTATAATGCCACTTATGAACAACATGTCGAAAATTTTCATAATCTAATTGATCAGCTTTATTTCCACCATCAAATCCAGTTGCCCGTAATATAGTAAGAAATCCTGGATAGTTTCCACATTCCTAAGAAAGATTGTCACTTTTAAAAATCATGTTATGCTCCACAAAATACCCAAAGCTGAAACTTAAGTAGACTAGATTAATAATTCCACATAAAAATATGTGTATTTGGATAGGTAGCCTTCTCAGTTAGTTTCATCTTACTTAATGGTACTAAAAATGTCAATTTGAAACCGAATTAAAGTTACCATTAAAAAAAATTTTTTTTTCTGTCAGTCGTGGGAACTCTGGGCCTGAGCGCTGTCCCTCAGTTCTTCAGCTCAAGAGTGCTACTCTACTACTTGAGCCACAGTACCACTTCAGGCTTTTTTTTTCTGCTTATGTGGTGCTGAGGAATCGAACCCTGGGCCTCATGCATGCAAGGCAAGTATTCTACCACTGAGCCACCTTCCCAGCCCCAAGTTACCCTTTTAAAATAATGTTCCAGGGCTGGGAAGGTGGCTCAGTGGTAGAGCGCTTGCCTTGCATGCCTGAGGCCCTGGGTTCGATTCCCCAGCACCACATAAGCAAAAAGAAAA